ACAGCATGCGCTCTTAACAACAAGGCTGCTGGTTCGACTCCCACATGGGATGGTGGCTATGCCCACCTGCACTAAGACTGAACTCAGCACCTTGACCTTAGAGGCCACAAGCTGCCGATGGGAAGCCAGATGGCGACTGGCGCCCTCTACAACTAAGATTGAAGAACAACTTGGCTGGTCTCCTTCCCCAATTTCCCAATAAAATCTTAAAAAAAAAAAAAAAAGAATACATTTCTCAGATTATCAGTAAATTCCTAATGTGAAAATGTATCATCGATCTTAAAATGCTTCCTCTGTATAAGGTGCTCTCCTTCCTCTCTTCTAATTTTACAATTCTTTGAGGTTCTACATTTGTGCAATTTTTTTTTTCTCACTGTCTTCCTAAAGCCCTGACTCAGACCTTACTTTGGTTTGGGGATGACCTCAGCCTTAAGCCAGACACACGCATAAGTATTTTGAAAGACTTCTGGGAGAAGACCAGAACCTAGCACCTAAGAAGTTAGAAAGAATCAGTGTGGCATAATGAAAAGGACGTGGGCTTTGGACAGACAGAAGTTTAAGACAGAGGTTTAAGTCACTCTGCCACTTTCTAGATGCATAACCTTGGGGCAAGGCACTATACCTCTCTGGACCTCACTTCCTTATTTGTAAAATGGAGATAACGCCATCTATATCTCAGTGTGTTGTTGTCAGGATTAGAAGAATGCCTATAACAATTCCTGGCATATAAAAAGCCAATCAATGGTAACTCTTATTAGGGCCAATATGCCAATTGCCTTACTGAACATTGTGTAAGGCTGTACTTTGCTAACTGCAAAAGAAGTCACACTGTTCCCACATTCCCATGCCTAGATCCAAAAGGTTCCATTTTTGTAATCTATAATTAACCAAATCAAGAGCTTAAAGAATTCAAGGCAAGAAAGAGCTAGCATGGCTCAACTCATTCTCTGCTGACAGCAACAAAGCCAGTGCAAGGTGGATACATTTGCCAAAAAAAAATAATAATCTGCTTGAACATGGTCATTACCGATACTGACATAAGCACAAACTAGTTGTGGTTCTTGAGTAATCAGCCTTATTGTCAGAAAGTTTCAGCTTTTCTGAAATGCATACCCTTCTGCCTGCTGTGCTATGACATTCCTATTTCCCCATTTTTAAGAACGCAGGGAAGAAACCCTCTCAACTTTATTATTCCATTCACTGTGGAACTTACCTTCCCATTTCACAAATCACTTCTTACAGAGATTTTTGATTTGTTGGATTCACTTGATGTGAGCTTATGAAGAAAGACATTATATACAAATATATCAGAGCCACAATGACAAGATCTGGTCCCCAGAGCACAACAAGTTACACGATGTAACTTGTGCCAAAGAGAAGATGTGACTGAGGAGCCTGCACACCATATGTTCATTCTTATTAACTACTGCACTTGGGAATTCTGGCTCTTGTAAAAAGTTTATTTCCCTTGTGTAGCTGAGAAGAGTAACAGAACTAAGAAAAATGCTGACAGATACATGAATGGAGCCAGGGAAATCATCAATGGAAATGTGACTTAAGATAAATAAGCTTGTATGTAACAGTTACAAAGTAAAAGCAACAGTCACCAATTACATAGCCAAAGGCAGCTATTTCAATCCCTATAGTCTCTCCATACACTATATACAAGCAGAGGGGAGTCAAGGTCACAATGATTAAATAAGCAATCTAAGAATCAAGAAAGGCTCAACAAATCATCAACAAATCAAAATGTCACACTGTAGTCCCTTGGTGAGGTGACTTTCAACTTCAGTTAAAGGGCACGGCTCATGCACTTATTTTAATTTAGCCAATTAAATATCAAGAAAGTTAAAGACTATTCACAAAAGGCAGCTCGCAATGCCTTTAGTTATGTCATCTAGCTGCATCGTAGCCCAGAGTTTCACCTAACTTCCAGCAGAGAAGTTGTTTTTTTGGTTGCAATTAACATTGTAAGGCAAGCTCGGCCCTGTCTTCCATAGCCTTGAGGTGCTGAGTAAATCTAGAATCATGGAACCTACATTTTGATGCTGGGAAAACAGGAAGAAGGTGGTTCAGCAACAAGGAAAATGGTCAAGAAGCACATCTAGAATTAAGAAAAACAAACTGGTATGCCGGCCTGCGATTTCTTAACTTCTTTATATAGAATCTATTGAATTGTGTGTACCTTTCAGAGGAGGTCACAGTGGCATGCACTTAAACTATAATGGGAGGAGGAATAAAAGAAAATCAATTCTTAGCAATAGCTATCATTTCTTAAGTTACTATTACATGTTGCAAGTTCATGCTAAAGCCCTCTACAAATATGTCTAATCCTCAATCATATTAGTCTCCTCATTTTATAGCAGAGGAAACTAAGATTAAGAGAATCTGGAAATCACCCAAAAGCTAGTTAGTGGGAATACCAGGATTCAAACTACATTTGCCTGACTGTAAATCCCATGTTCCAAACACAATTTGTTAAATACTTTTACCCTCAAGAGATCTAATCAAATTACAGATTTTACACAAAAAGACCCTTAATCACAGGGAAAAGATTTGGCCAAAGTTATAAAGCAACTGAATTAGTCAGAAACGTGTTTCAGATTTCCAGACTCATATCCAGGTACTACCAGCTCTTGGTGCCGGTGGGTGCTGCCTCTCCTTCCTCCCCTAATCCCCCCCAGAGGAGTTTCATACTTCAAATGACAAAGCCACAGTCCTAAAACATCATTAAATACATTCCTTCTGACATCATTTGTTCATCACCTATATCTGGGTAATTAGAACGAAAGGGCTATCTGCTTTATACTTTAATCATGAGGTCATTACAACAAAAGTTAGGCTGGATCCAAGGTTCCACTTCAGCTGAGTCCTAAACAGTGAAACCAATCCAGACTTGACATCACTTTAGTGCTGCTTCTGATAAAGCAAATTAAAAAATCATTCCCAACCATAAAAAAAAAAATCACTGTGTTCACATTGTACCTTGGAAATTAGAGCCATGATCCTTTCTACATGCTCCACCTCTCTGTCTTTTTCCAATATTGGCCCCTGTTTTCCGTGACTTAGCTTTGCGAGATGAGATACAAGCATAGCCCTTGCAAGGGTAGTACGGGAGTGTCATACTCCTACATCCAGGCGCACTTACTCCTTGGTGTTTCGAGGCTATCGCCTCTTCAAAACTATGTCTGAGAGACGCTGACAGCTGAGACAGAAGGCCCCACAACGAGCACCTCTTCCAGAAGTAGCAACATTTCTTCCTAACGCTTTCAGATCATGACAATAAAGGGACCACTACAACCACCATTCTCTTCCTGCATAGTCTCATAATCCCGGTGGCCACCTGCTAAGCAGAGAGGACAACCCTCTGAAGAGTGAAGGGACTCTCTCCATGACCCTTCTACGCTCAGAGAAGATGCAAGGATATTGCGGTGCCTGGAGTGAAGGGCACACAGCATCCGTGTGGCCCTGTGGAAGCGGCTGACCACAGAGAAGCCATCAAGTCATCGTCTGTACAGAAACCAGACAACTGAGGGTTTCAAACGCGAGGCGACTCCTGGCTTACTCCTACTACGGTCAGAAAAGATCTTTCCATCCTTCGTTGCTGGGTGAACGCTCATAAGCAGTAAGGTTTTTTCTGTACCGTCCGGGGTCTTTCCCCCGATCGCCTGGAAAATAACACGGGGCTACGCTGGGGGTGCAGAGAGGGGCAGCGTTAGGTGCCTCTCTTCTCCCTGCCCACTCCAAGTAGTAGGGGAGAGCGCTCCCTCCATGTTATTCACAGACAAGTACGGCTGTGGCGCCTGCAGTCTTTGCTCCCCAGCCCGGGGGGTCCCGGGGGGGCATCTCAGAAAGAGTGGGTTACCGGGGAAAGGGAAAGGGGTCTCTCTGCTTCCGTGATCAAAGGGGAGGGCGTGGAGAGCGGTGCAGCGGTGCCGAAAGCATCTGCGTGCGGTTCCCCCTCCCTCCCTCGCTCGCTCGCTCTCCACCAGAGGCAGCCCGGCCCCAGTACCTTCTTGACCGTGCGCGGCGCCTCGGTGACGGTGCCGTCGGGGTTGACTAGGGCCTCGCCGCCGTCGCGGTGCCGCTGGTGCTGGTGATGAGGGTCGCTCCGCTTCATGGCCGACGCCTGAGGCACTTTCCCCGCCGCAGGGCTGGGAGCAGCGGCGGGCCCCGAGCCGGGGCCAGGGGCCGGGGGCCGCTCCGCGGCGGGAGCTGGAGCTTCGGGGTCCCCGCCACCCGCCGGGGGGGCCATGGCGCTCACGGCCGCCGTGCTCAGTCCCAGTTGTGGATCCACCTCGGTGGGGCTCAGGTCCTTCAGCTCCACCTCAGGCACCTTCGCGGCAGCCGCTGCTGACACGACCTGCACCGACATCACCGCCTCCGCTGCAACCGCCGGCTCACACTCCAGTTCCAGCTCCTGCTCGGCCCCGCCTCCCGCCTCCCTTCCCCTTCCCTCCCCCATTCCCCCACTCCTCCCCTCCATCGCCTCCGCTCCCACCCCCTTCCTCCGCCCGCCAGCCTGCCAGCCCTGGGCAATTCGTCCCCGCCCCGCCCGGCCCCGCCCCGCCCTGGTCCGGCCCGGCTGGCGCGCGAGGCGCCACGGAACTTGTAGTGCGCTTGCTCTGGGCTGCACGCGGCGAAAAGACCACGGGACCTCAGCCCCCAACCTACACTGCGCGCAGCCCAGGGCGGTGCCCGCGATGCCCCCTGGGAGTTGTAGTTTCCGTAGCCCTTTCTCCCGCAAGTGTGATTTTGTGGGAGAGATGGAGCTCTAGGGCCGGCGACTAACGGAAAGGAAAAGAGTGACAATAAGTGACACGACGAAGGGGATGTAAAAGAGAGTCTCCAAAGGAGTTGCGGTTTCCGGGGAGGGAACGCCAGAAACCCTAGGGTTGGGAAGGTGGGGGAGGAATGACTCTCTACCCTGACAGCATGAATTTCCTTCGTGTGTGCACATTTGCGATCACGTGAGCAGGCATTTAAAGGAAGAGCAGCGGGGTCACGTGAGAAGAGAGCCTGCCTCAGGTTTAAAGTTGCTTGATTTTTCTGCTTCTGTGACACTTTTCCGAACTTTAATGACATTGTTTTTGGAATAAAATAGGACCTTCCCTACTGTGGCAATTTCTGGCACATTTTGGGCCTGGAAGTTTAAAATCAGCCCCAAAAGAAGTTAAATATATCATTAGGTGGAAATTTCAAGGCTATGGAATTACACGTGGCTTTAAACGAGACCAAATTTTTCACCTATTAACTCTACTAGGAAGTAATCTGAAATTAAGATAACCCTATCAGCATAAAGGAATGTTAACTAAAATATGAATAGTAAGTGGTGGGATTTGGGGTGATTTTTAAACTTTCTTTGTACTTTTCTGTATTATTTTGTTTGACAATTATTTTAAAAGGTGTAAGCACAAAAACATGTATGGCGTTTTTATTTTTACTAACAAAGAGGTATCTGAACCGACTTTAATGTCCAACAATAGGGGAATGGTTACAGCCTTTAAAATAAAGTTTGCCAAGAACTATTTTTAATGATAAAGGGAAATAAATGCTTATGATAAAATAATAAGCTTAAAAGCAGGAGACAAAATTGCACATTCCATAAGATTTTAACTATGTAAATCATATTTGAAAAAAACCAAAATACATTAAAATGCAGTTGACCCTGGGTGCAGATTATGGGATAGGTTTTTTTTCTTCTTTATTCTCAGAGAAACTGAGGCAAAGGGGATCTTATAGTTTATGGTTGTCTAGGGAGTGATAGCCCTGACAACCCCAGAAGGTCACTGGACATCTGTCTTTGGAGTTAACTATTTTTTCCCTGGAAAGAAGGAAAGGGAAATCACCTGCTCTGATTTCCTCCTTCCCTGTGCTTTGCTTTCTTAAAACTCTGTTCATCAGTGGAGTTGTCCTACCATGAATAGAATCTCGCATCCTGGTCTTCGAGTTTGTGCCTGACATTATGTATTGGAAAGCATCTGAGCACTGCCATTTCCACAAAGCTCACAAGTCCACCAGACGCAAGGACTTCTTAAGCTTTCACTTCACATTCTGGCTTTCAGAATTTCCTTCCTGTTATAAAGAACCGGCCCTAGCTTCATCCTCCAGCTGTCGGGGCAGAGATTAGCAGCTCTGTAACTGATTTCTTTCTTCCCTCTAATGCACAAGGGAGCTGCGGTACCGCCACCTGGCATGTGTAGGAGCTCATAGGCAACAGCTGCCTACCTGGACTGCCACTAGAATTGATTACTAAGGGGATGAATTAATTCTTCAGTGGGATGTAGTTACAAAACATAAGGAGTTGGGGCACTGGAAAGAAACTGATATGCATCCTTTATTTATTTAGGTACTGTCCACTGGCTGGGGCCACACATCAGGGCACACTGTTCAGCCATTGTCAACACCATCCCTGCCCACCTGCTGCTTCTCCCATCTTTGCTACTGAGGGACACCAGGCAGAGTTGAAGACAGAAATACCATAGTGGAAGCAGGGTGATTAAGCACAAGTTTATGAACTATTTAGTTTATGAAATATTTAGACTATAGGTCTTCTTCCTCACCGGGCTCATTCAACTTCCAAACCCTGGCAGGCAGGAATGTATCTTCCATGCAGGAGACTGGAAGAACTTCTCTGAGGTATCTGATCAGTCCAAGAAACAAAACTTGGGGCCGGCCGAGTGGCATGTTGGTTAAGAGCTAGCTTGGAACACCAGCTCTGAGCTGCAGGGCCCCGGTTCAAATTAGGGCCAGTGACGCTGCACCCTCTACAGCTAAGATGGTGAACAACAGCTCAACCTGGAGCTGGGCTGAAGTGAGTGGTCGGCAACGGTGTATACTGCAGTGGGCTGCCGTAAAGCTATCGTGAGTGGCTGACAGCCGGCGTGAGCTGCCAAGAGCCTCTGTGAGTGGCCATCCGGTGGCCGACGACTGATATGCCTCACCCG